CCACTATTTTGAATACATCTAACTTGACCATTCACAACAAATCACAATCAACAAATATTTCATCATAATATTTAACAATATATTTAAAAATTGTTCAAATATAAATATCTCATCAAAATACCATAAACTAATAACATATTGAATTTTTTTTTTTATAAAAATATGCATTAGAGGGTTAAGATCAACTTATTAGAGTTATTGGGGTTGTCCAGGAGTTATTGGAACAGTAAAAAAAGTAAAAATAGTGACAGCGAATGGGATTCACACGCCACCTCTAGTGTTGACACGTGTTTCGATAGGAATGAACAATTAGGAGAACCAATATCCTAATTTGGACTAATACCCTGTTAAATTAACAAGTGTAAAAATTTATTATTAAAACTAGAATCCTAGATAATGGGCTCTTTTTTTATAAAATAAAATTTGATAACATACTGTCTAGTTTTTTAAATTATTTAATTAATGTGTAAGTTTATCTCAACATTGAACCACCTAATTGATATATTGATATCATTTTTATATATCTATTTAGTTTAAGAGGTTAAAGGAGAAATTCTTTTTTGGGAACGTCTCTAATACTTTATTTTGTTAAACTTTATTTTTATTAAATGTAGTCCATTAATTCTATATTGCATGCATGTATAATTTATATAGAACTTTGTTTTACTAAACTTTTATGTAAAAGTCTTATATTCATCATCTAAGTTATATTATACATGAATGAAATTAATGCAAGTAATTAATCAATTGTTTCTTTATTTAACTTGTATGTATTGATATTAAATTTTATGAAATAAAAGTTTGGAAAAGCATTTGATTACATGATTAACTGCTTTAGTCCATAAGGTTGGACTCTAAAATTAGTAATGAAACAGTATGGATAATATTAAGATAATCATATAAAAAAAATTATTGAGTTTTTTTTTTCTAGAATCCATGTAAATAGCATTTGAAAAGTTGGGATTGTTAGGGTAAGGGAGAGGAACTAAGGGCTATCACAAGTTCTTATCCTCTCTTTATTTTTATTTTTATCTTTATTTTTTCTATTTTACTAATGTCTATCACTCTTTATTAAGGTTTTTTTTTTAGCATAATGGTTGTGGAGGGTTTTTTATGGTAGCTCCCCCCTGATTTCTTAAGATTTTATTACTATTTATAAAATAAATTTTTTGTCATATTCTCTTTGGTTAATTGGTCCTAAGTAACTTAATTTTATTTTGATCTCTCATTTTTTTTTTAAACTTCAGCCTCCTTAATTTTTGTCATATTCTTTTTTTTTAATTAGTTGTTTCCAAAAAACGTCATTTTATCTCCATCATTTGTTTTTATTGTTTTATATTTTAGCCCCTAGTCAATTGTGCTTCATATTTTATTTTTCATTTTCATATGTTTATTTTTTTGAAAAGCAAAGTTAACATCTATTAGATAAGAAAAGCAATTAAGAATTACAAAATAGACATGGATGAGTTGAAAACATATTTCCTTGAATTTGATTTTTTAAAAAGAAATTGGCATTTATGAAATGGAAGCAAATGCATCGAAAACATATTTTTTGAATTTGTTTTTGGTTTTTTGAAAATATTTTGAGAAAAAAGATGTTATCTTAGATTTTTTTAGACAAATCATATTTTTATTGATCATCTAGATTAATTTTAAACTCATTAAATTAATCGGGTCATATTGAGTTAAATTTTACATTGTTTAATTTAGGAATTGAATTTTATAATTTGTTTTAATTTACTTTATGTGGGTTATCATGGTCTTAAAAGAACCCCAGTATTGAATTTATGTTCATTTGTTTTTGAAAAATCAATTTGGAATCGAGTTTCATGATTCATTTTAATTTTCTTTCTATAAGATTATTACATTATGAAAAAAAATCTTGATTTTAGATCGATGCTCGATTACACAAATAAAGATATGATTTTATTGTTTGTAGGTGTTCTTTTTTAGGTTCTCTGATTTTTTTAATTAAGTTTTTATTTTTATTTTCATGCTTCAACATTGCATTGATTAGAAATTAAGCTTGATGATTTGTTTTAATTTATTTTTTATATGGTTATTACAATCTAAAAAATTCTCAACATTGAGTTGATTCTCAAATTTGAAAAAAAAAAGAATTTAATTTTTTATTTGTAAATATCTTTTTTAAGGTTTTTTAATTTTTTTTATCTTTTCATAAAATTTATGTTTTCATCTTTATTTTTTGGTATTATGTTTATTAAAAAAATATTTCATAATTTATTTTAATTTATTTTTAAATTTAATATATTTTTATTTAAAAAGATGAATTATCTAATTCAAGAATTGGATTGTAAATATCCCCCGTGTGGGTGCGGGAAAGCAAATAATTGTGCATGTGGACATATGGTTTAGCTAATTTGGTTGCCAACTTGGGTAATGAGGTTATTTAGTTCACAAAACCACCAAATTCTATAAAGGATAGCATGTGAAGGGATTTTTGTACAAGGAAAAGTAAAGTTACAAAATAAATTGATAGATTATTTAATAAGCTTTAATTTTCAATAAAAAAATATGTTTTTTTATATTATGTTTTTTCATCAAATGATTTTAACCATTTACATGAGGTGCTGTATTTATAAAATCTTAATAATGTTTTTTTAAAAGAATTTTTTAGCCCTGTTTGTTTGCTATAAAATATTTTAATTTTTTTTTTAAGAAAATGAATTCCAGAAAAATAAATTATTTTTTTATGTTTGATAATATAATAAAAATAAGTTGGAAAATACTTTTAGTATTTAGTTATGTTATGTAAAATGAGTTAGAAACTAATTTATTATTATTTTATTTTTTAAAATTTATTAAAATAATAAAAAACAAATCTTACAATTAAAAGGTTGAATGAGAATGAAATTGAAAAAAAATATAATTTTATAAATTATCTCAAATAAAATATAAAATAATCAAAATAATAGAGATCAAATCTAACAAACAAAATTAAATGATGAAGAAAATAAAATAATAATAATTACCATTTCATAAATTATTTCAAATAAAATAAGTAACAATCAAAAGAATAAAAACCCAATTTGATAGATAAAAAATTTCAAATGATAAGAAAAAAACAAATAAAAATTATAAAAATAAAAATAAAAATTAAATTCTGAGAGGTGAAAACAAATAAAAATTATAAAAATTAAAATAAAAATTAAATTCTGAGAGATAGAATTCAAAAATAAATATTCAAAACAAAATACCTATAACAATAAAAAATTTAAGGATCAAATTTAATATAATCATCAAATAATATAACATTTTAAATTTTTCAAAATTTCTAGAAAGTGTTTCCGTCTAAAAAAAATAATTTTCTAAAAATTAAACTAATTTTTTTATTAAAAAGTATTTTTTATTAACTAACTTTTCTAATAATAAATTAAAAAAAATTTAATAAGGCTGCCGTACTGAATTGCCTGCGGGCACCCAAAATTGTTATGAAGAAAGAGGAATACAGTAGAGCCAGGCACCTACTGGAGGCCCACAGTTTTGTGACACAGGAACTAAACTGGCAGGGAAAAAACACCAAGGAGCTAAAACAGTGCACAAACTTGATCTCCTTGAGCAAAAAAAAAAAAAAAAAAAAAAAAAAAAAAAAAAAAAAAAAACTTGCTCCTTGTTTCTCCAATACGTGAGAATTTCCAACGCCATGAGAGGAAAGCTCTTGTGCCTTCTTTAGGCCGCAGCCTATATGGAAATCCAATTACCAGGGCAGAAACTAGGAAAGCAGCACCAGCAGCCTCTCCACCTGCTATCCAAATCATCCCATGTATATTTATGATAGAACATTTTTTATTTTTGGATTCAACAGGCAGAAGGCAAAGCAAGAACACTAACTTGTCAGGAATATGAATAACAGAAACAATGCTAGTAGTAGTATACAAGGTATAGAAACTGTGGGAGGAGATGATCCAGGCACGCACCTCATGAGTCCCTGTTAAATAATAATAAATACAGTTAAATCAGTTATCGTGAACAAATAACCTGTCAGAAGTAAAAAATGAAACGAATCACTGCTTTGGGACAGGTCCTAATAGGTTGTTACTGGATAGATTCCTGAAGCCGATATTCAGGAACGTTCACTGTTGCAGCCAGAACAATGCCGAAGAAAAGTAAAAAGAGAAAAGAGTGGTAGAATTCAACGAGGAACTCACAGGAATCGCAGGGCATGGAGTTTTGTCAGTGGCATATGTAGGTATTGAACCTTGCAGACTGTTATCGTTAAGGCAGCTATTTGAAGTCGGGCATGCAACAATTACAACAATCTTAAGTTCCATTACTATCAGTAATTGCAGCAGAAAAAATCGAATCCTACTAAAGGAACAAAAACAAACACACTGAATTTAGGAATTAGGAGGCTGAAAAAAGGACCATATCTGCAATATCATTTGGACAGTGGAATGCATTATTATCAATTTATCTAGGTTAAAGACTTTTTCAAGGACCTGCACCACGCAGCGTCTCTTCCGTGCTTCGACAAAGTTCCTTTCTATTTCTTAGCAAATGTTTAAATCAGTATTTAATGTTCGCTATAAATCAGACCTTCATTTATCATGTTACTACTTTGCAGATAACGAAAAGACCTGAAAGAGTAGTCTAGGAGACAGCAAAGGTGGAGGTGTGTTCATACAGGAACCGCAATTTTGTCAGATTTCCCAATGTGTCTGGAATGGAACCATTGAAATTGTTCTAGTCAAGATCCAAGTTCAACAAGTTTGTCAGATTCCCAATATCACTAGGAATCGGTCCACCTGATAAGTTGTTGCCAGAAAGTTCCCTGTCATAGAAATATTGTTCTAATTCAAGGAGGACAAATATCTCTGATGGTGTGTTACTTGTCACAAAACTAGCACAATAAAGCAACAGGGGGTCGAGAATTAATAAAAGCAAAATAATAATAGACATTTTAGCGTTCCCAACCCAGCTCCAATGCACACAAAAGAGACCAATCCAAAGGAATCCACCGAGTATACTTAAAAATCCACAAGTCTGGTGCGTTCTTCACCTTATCTAGTTTACAAAGCTAAAACAAGTTTAAAATCCCTTTGGACCAATAAATTATCACTGCCGATCTGTTTCACCATCACAAGACATTTTGTCCCTGCAAATTGTCTGACAAGTAAAGTACATGCACAAGCAAATATGGCTTTCATGGCCTGTCTCCTACCGTAAATAAATAAAAAGCAATTCTTGCCTTTTAGTTCTCAAATGTGGGGTTCTTTGCTCTCAACCCAATCATATGAATTTCCGCCAATGAATTGATCAGCTTTCTAGGTGGACTGTAAACCAGGTTCATCAAAGGAATCCTTTTGTGGTTTCCTGTGTCTCCGCCAGCATGCAAACCAAATTACCAGAGCAGCAAATAGTGACACCACACAGCAACCACCCCTCCAACTATTGCTCCAATATTGGGCTTACTGTCTCCTGAAATGAAAAACAAGAGCGTTATATAGTCAGTTTTCTCATGCATATTTTGTCATAAAAGTCCTCGTTGTTTAGCTTTAAACAGACAGAAGCGACAGTAAAATCTCAAGAACATTAATAAACATAATGCCGATAATCTTCTTCTTTTTAACTCGTCTTGTTCTGAAATGTGAAAATCTTGCAATAAAAAGTTAGTGCTTAAGGAATTTGATGGTTCATACTTCTGTACTCCACTCGGTACTCTTGCTATACTTTGGGAAACGTCTTATGGCTGTCAAGACACAAGTTCTTATTGCTAAAAACTTGAGAAGTTAAACTATACTGGTTAACAAAAAAAGAAACAACAGGATACAAGCAATTCCGATAATCAAAGAACTGTGAGTGGTTCGTGGTCATTAGGCTAATTAATCTGGGATCACATCTAAAATTAATAAATCAATTAAGAGAGCATACCATCTGGACTAGAAACTGCAGGCGGGGATGATCCAGGGCAAGGCTTCTCAATTATTGGCCCGCATAGATCCAAGTTATTTGCATAACTGCAAATATAAAAACCATCGACTCGTCAGTCCCCACTAGTGAAAAATAAATCCATTTTACATCACTTTTACTTGGCACAAAACCTGATGGCAGTAAACAATGAAAATGAGCCATTTTGTGGAACAGGTCCTGATAGGCGGTTACTGGATAGATCCCTGCATTCAATATTCAGAAATGTTAATCCTTGAAGCCAAAATAATGCTAACTGCTACGAGAAAAATGGAAATGATTGTAAATTTTTTCTAGGAACTCACAAGACTTGCAAGGAGTAGAGGTTAGTAAGTGACATAGGTATTGAACCTGACAGGTTGTTGCTGTTGAGTCGGCTATTGGAAGTTTGGCATACAAAAAGATAACAATCTTGAGTTCCAATACTATCAGTAATCGCAGCATAAAACTCATAAATTAATACAATGAGAAAGCAAGGGAATAAATTTGCAAAATCACTTGGACAATTAGAAAACAAGTTGTCAAGGCTAAAGACCTTGTCAAGTTTCTGCATTATATAGCCTTCCTCAAGAGCTTGTTATTTCAGATCAAATAGTGGGGCGATTGTGTTAGCAATAGTTTCTTAAAAACCACACCTTCAGTTAGCATTTTGAGCAACTTGATTCATGAAAATTTAAGTCATTAAGATGCCATAAACACCACATAAATTTGTTTGCAGATGCTTTGGCATTCTCGAGCTAAGGGATAAGAAAAATCTAGAGATTCTTGGTGTAGCTAGTAGAAAAACAACGTCCCAATTGCATAGAAATTTGAAACATTGAGTCACGGTGATGTTTGAACAGCAGTTCATCATGTCTAATGGTACAGGAAAGAACTATTTCCCCAGTTTGTAGCTCCAAGTAACTTTTCTTTAACAACATCAGTATAAGCTAGCAAAGATTTAGAGCTAATCAACATAAATATCAGTACAAGATCTCCACTAAAGATTAATCTTACTGGAGAATTATGGGAACTAATTGCATTTTTCCTGTCTCTCACCACTTTGCAGGCAAGCAAAAAATAAGAAGTATTTGAATGTGCGGTAAAGAAATAATGCTCTTACAGGAATCGTAGTTTGAACAGCTTTCCCAATGCGTCTGGAATGGGACCATCGAAATTGTTGGTGTAAAGCTCCAAGCTCACCAAGTTCGTCAGGTTCTCAAGATAAACAGGAATATGTCCACTTAAGTTGTTAGCATAAAGTTCCCTGACAAGCAATGAAACCAAAAATAGATAAAACACTTAAACTATAAGACAAACAGGCCTCCCCGGACCATACAAGTGCACGGCGAGCCCATGCAAAGGGTTTGGTTAAGCCAGATTCCACCAAGTATACAAATGGAACCTAACCATACATTCCCCAATTATATCTTCCAAATCATCCACAATAACGATCCATCCTTCTCCAGAAAGAGATTTTATTAAATAACCAAAAATAACACTTGGTGGTAATTTTGCTTATATCTCCCCCCTGGAGCCCAGGTATCATATAAACCCCCAATATAAAGAGCTCTGAATACTAGAAGAAAAGCACCTATAACTAACAAGATTAAATGAATACCTAAAATTGTAATAATTTTACTTCTATCTTTCCATACATAACCATAAAATGGAAAAGATGAGTCTCGGGTGATAAATACCGCCAAAGCCCAATACTGCAGAGGAAATTAAATGAAGTACGCCAGATACAAAGCATGGAAAGGTGTCTGTGACTTCCTCGCCAAGACCCACCCCAAATGTTATTGCAGTTTAAGATGCAGGGATCGCGAAGGGAATGTAAGATTTAACAGATGGTAAAAAAAAAAAAAAGACTTACAAATACTGCAAATTTGTAAGCAGTGCAAGCTGTGGAACCAGTTGACCAGATAATAATGCATTTCCCATATCACTGCAGAAGAAGAAAGGTTATGGTCTTACATAATGAATTTCTTTTTACATATGAAAGATTGCAGGATTCACTTGTATATTTGAAAAGGGTAATTCAGGATTTGCCAAAATGCAGTTGCTTACAGTCTTACAACACTATCCAAGCTGTTGCATGTAACATGATTCCACTTGCAGGGGTTTTTGTCTGTACGATTCCAATTGTCCATGACATTGTTAGGATCTTGTAGATTGTTCCGAAAGATATACAGAGCATCGCCTGCTTATAAAGCCAAGCAACAACCACGGAAAAATCTGGAAATTAAACAATGTACATAACAATACAAGCTTGATAAAAATGTCCTAACAGGATGATTATAAATTTTTCTGCTAAGTAAATAAACTTCCCAATTACAGAACAATTTACTTCTGAAAACAAAATAAAGATTTCTTTTATCTGGACATTATTCTTCCAACTTAGGATCAAAAGAAGAAACAAAAACCACAAAGAATAAGATAATATAAAGCAAACCATAACACAAGCCATATATATGAATACACACCTTCCTCATTACCGAAAATCTTTGACAAAAGGACTGTTACTAGAATCAACACAGCAAGACAAGTCCTAAACTCTCTCCCCGTCAGCCTCCACATAATAATTACTATGAGAATCTCTTTACTTGCTTGCTTAAATCTTTGTCAATTTGTAATCAATGGCACTGTAAAGCATAACTTTTGTTTTGTTTAAAAAGATGGGTTTCCTTTGTTTTGTTTTGCTAACAATTGATTCAAATTCCTCCATTGCAGACTTTGCAGTCTAAAAGTCAACCAGTGTTTTACTGACAACCATCACATGGCCGCCAAACATGACTTCCAATAGCAAGAAAACGAAGGCCCGTTTGTGCTGAAAAGTAATTTTTTCCTGGACTGCTGTTTTTTTTAATTACATTTTGAAAAAGTAATTTTTTTATATTTAGTAATGTAATGAAAAATAAATCAAAAAATATTTAATATTTAGTTATATTATGAAAAATAATTTATTAATATTTTATTTTAAAAACTATTAAAATAATAAAAATTAATTTTATAAATTAAAAAATTGAATAAAAATAAAATTAAAAAAATTAATTTTATAAATTATCTCATATAAAATAAATAAAAATTAAAATAATAGAGATAAAATCTAATAGTTAAAAAAATTGAAAGATAATAAAATTAAAATAATAATAATAATAATAATTTTATAAATTATTTTAGATAAAATAAATAACAATTAAAAGAATAAGGATCAAATTTAATAGATAAAAATTTTTAATTAAAAATAATAAAAAAAAAAGAAAAGAAAAATTAAATTTAATATAAAAATTAGATTAAATAAAATTATGAGGTACAAAATTGAAAAAAAAAATTCAAAATAAAATATATAATAATTAAAAGTTTGAGGATCAAATTTAATATAATCAATAAATAATAAGATATTTTTTAATTTTTTTACCACTTTTAAAAAGTATTTTTCATCTAAAATAAAAAGAAAATATTTTCTTGAAAATTAAATTAAATTTTTTTAACTGGAAAATATTTTTTATTAACTAATTTTTTGAATAAAAAATAAATATATAAAAACTTAAAAAATTATTTTTCATAACGAATCATTTACAGTTGCACGCATATTGTTAGTTTAGATAATAATTTTATGTGGAAGATAAGGAATCATTTGCTCGATTTGCGGTGCTTTCTTTTATAGTATCATGTTAATTTGATTTTAGTCATTTAAATTAAATGAAGAGCTCAGCTTTTTTGACATTTGAAGACCTTGTGCTTAATTTATTCTAAAAAATTCTTTAGTATTAAGTAAATTTTACTTAAAATTTATTTTTTTTAACGCTAAAAAGTTAGCTTTTAAGTAAAATCTATGATTGATTAGAATCAATCAACTCAAATTTCGCGTAACATCTCAAGGAAGATCCATGTGTTCGAGGTTAAAAAGAAAGCAAATCAAGGCGTGGTTCAGGTCACCGTACCATTGTACCAAATTGGTTTTAGCCCCACCTCAATATATTTAGGTTTTTGTGCCTTTGCGTTCAATTTTTTTTTTTTTCCTCCAGAAAGTGTGGATGAATCAAGACACGGAATAAAAGAAATTTAGGCCATCCATTTTTTTTCAATGTAAAGATATTTTAATACCAAATTTATATTTTTATGATATAAAAATACTAATTAATATCAATAAAAATAGCATAAAAAAATCCCAAATTTTCTAAAAATAAATTTTTATGATTTATTTATTGAGTCGGATCTAACCCAAAAGAAATAGGTCCGAGATTGGCCCAAAATAAAATTGGGCCAAAACCGACCCATAGATAGCTAATTATTATGTTGTACGCATAGTAACCAATAAATTATAATTAGGTAATTACTTGCTCTAATTATATTTCATTTGTTATAGAATGTGAATTGTTCATGTTTTGCATGTAAATAAAAACAAAAATCAAAATGAAAACAGAAAAAAAGAAGAAGATTACATGGTTGTCGTTTGTGGTGGCAGAAGTGATGTGGAACTATGGTGGCTGGTGAGGCTCCTCCTCCTTCTTCCTCTTTCTCCTATATTTTTTTTTGTTCTTTCTTTCTTTTCGGGTCTTTTGTTCAACTCCCTCTCTTCTTTTGTCTTTTCTCCTATGTTCTCTCTCTCTTTTTTTTTGCTCTTTTGTGTCTTGTGCTTTCCCTTGTATTTATAGGGAAACAGGGGAGAGAGGTAGGTGCAGTCATTGTGCAACTGCCCCAAAACAATCGATGAAGGAGCACGTCCCCTCTGTTTTTTCACCACCCCGTGGTAGGCCACATGTCAAAGTTATTACAAGTGGCTATGATCAACCTCTTTTTAATGTTTAAAAGAGAGGGGAGGGATAAGAGAAATATCGATGAAAATAGGGAAATGAAATCTTTTTCTTCCCCTGTTTTCTACGTGTTTAAAGGTAAAAGAAATGCTACAATACCACTCAAAACGGTACTATTTTAGGCTTTTTCCTTCTTCTGTTTTAACAATGTATAAAATGGTGCTGTTTTGAGCAAAATGCGTTGTGTCATTTAAATAAAAATAGCACAAAATTATATCAAAGTAAAAATTAATTCTCAATTTGTGATTTGTTTAATCGAGTCCTCAATTTATTTTTTAATTTTAAAAATCAATTTAATTGCATCCCTGTCAAATTAAATCACCTGCTTTGAAGGTGGTTGCCTTTTTCAAATTGGTCATTGGTCTCGAATTAGTGTAATTTGACTCTTAATTGAATAATAAACTTTTTATTTCTTTTCAAATTAAATCACCTGCTTTGAAGGTGGTCGCCTTTTTCAAATTGGTCTTTGGTCTCGAATTAGTGTAATTTGACCCTTAATTGAGTAATAAACTTTTAATTTCTTCAATTTGGCTCCTGATTTGGTTTTAATTACAACCCCTCTATTTGCGCACCTTTTTCAATTTGGTTCTTGGTTTTAAATTTCTTCAATTAAGCCATTTGGTTCTTGGTTTTGAATTTCTTCAATTCAGTTTTTTAATTACAACCCCTCTATTTGCGCACCTTTTTCAATTTGGTTCTTGGTTTTAAATTTCTTCAATTAAGCCCCTAATTGGCAATTAAACTTTAATACCTGTGTAATTAAGCCCTTGATTTGATCAAATTAACTTTTAAAAATTATAATTTGATCATAGAACTTTAATTTCTTCCAATTAAAACCTAAATTAACTCCAAAATCAATTTTTCTTGCAATAAATTTTTTTTAAATTAACTCCAAAATCAATTTTTCTTGCAATAAAATTTTTTATTAATTCAATTAAACCTTTAATTAAATTTAATTGAGTCCATAAACATCTGATTTTAGACTTTTCTTCCTCAAATTGTTTTCTTTCTCGACAAAGCTCTCATCAATCAACAAACTACTGTCAAATTTTAAACTTTGAAATTTAGAATCTCTTCAATTAATTTTTAATCATTTTCAGGGCGTTCTGGCATCCTTTTTTCACTCTTATATTTGTTGATAATATTTTTTTTTTATTGTTTTTGTATTTTCTTCTTTTTTATGAAGAGAGAAATATAAATTGAGGAATAACCAAAAATTAGTTATGACAATGGTTAGATTAATAATTATACTTGATATTATAAAACTAGAAAATAGATAATTTGTATGCCAAAATCCAAATTTGCATATAAAATCATACATTCATTTATTTGGAATTCCCTTCTATATTTATAAATATTCTCACATAGAATTTACAAAAAAATCTTCCTTTAAAAAAATTATTTTACCCAATTAGAAAGTTTACGCGATTTATCTCTTATTTATATTTCATGATCCGATTTTATTACTTTATCTAATACAAAGATTGAAGTTAATTTACTGAGGATGTTCATCCTAATTCACAACAAGTTTCCTTCTAATTTATCATTTTTTCAATTAAAAATTACCTTATTTAACTTTGATTTATTGATTTTTTAGGTCAGGGGTTTATAATTAGTTAGGTCGATTAACTCGAGTTTTTTTTTTCAATTTCATCTTTTAATATTAGATTGATGAGTAATTAAGCTTCATAATTTATTTTATTAATTTCATCTTTTAATATTAGATTGATTAGTAAGTAAGCTTCATAATTTATTTTGACTTGTATTTTATGAAATTATTCCTATCTCATAACCCGCGTTACAAGTTTGATCAATTGACTTGGGTAGATTTTTATGCTTTTTTTAATTATTTTTTAATTTTAACTTTTAATATTAAGTTGATTAATAATTGAGTTTTATAATTTATCAGTTATCCAAGTTATTTTTGAACATATTAAGTTGGTCAAGTCAATTTTTATATAATTTAGATTTTTTTCTACTAAAAAATAAATTAACATGTAAATATTTTTTATATCTAATTTTTTTTTATCTAATTTAATTATATTATAGCGCTCACAGTGATCTAGTGAAGTACATGGCTTGGAGTTGCATATTATTAAGGCCTCGTAGGTGAATTTGTAGTTTTGGAGGTGCCACTTCATATAAAATAGCAAACCGTTTTTGAAAAGCTCATTAAATTTAAGGTACCATTTCCAACTTGGGGATGAGAGGTCAACCTCCCCCGCAGCCTACGTATATAAATAATGAAAATGTCCTTGTAATATATCAATTTAATTCACTATATCCTTCTACTGTTATTTTGATTTATTACGTCCCTCTATTTTATTTTCTTTCCTTATTATGTTTTCATTTAAACAGCATACTGGCCATAATTAAGGTTTGATACATAGCACCCCGTTAGAGTGCCACATGTCAAAATCTGAATTTCATTTATTTTCTTTCCTTTTCTTTTACTATCAAATAACAAATTATTTAAAAACAGAAAACAAAACGTGGTTAAACTGGAATTCTTGTTAATATTTTGGTTTTTTTAATAACTTTTTATTTGATAGTAAAAAAGAAAAGAAAAGAAAATAATTGAAGTTCAAATTTTGACACGTAACAACCTAATTAAACCAATGCCACATGTCTAACATTAACTAGGTGCTACTTAAATGAAAGACATATAAGCTAAGAAAATATGGTATGGGATACCATAAACTAAATTAACAGTAGAGGAATATAATAAAACAAATCAAAGAGAAATTTTTATACTTTAATTAACTCATAATCCTTAATTACTTATAATGGATTAGACTCCACTCTAGTTAGTGTTAAGTTGTTAACATGATGTATCATGTTAATTTGATTTTGGTCATTTAAATTAAATGAAGTGCTAAGCTTTTTTGACATTTGAGAACCTTCTGCTCTATTCTAAAAAATTCCTTAGTCTTAAGTAAATTTTACTTAAATTTT